TAAATATTAAGTTTAATAAATTACATTAATCATTAGCTTACTTATCTTAAGTTGTGCATGTTCCTAGATATATTTGTTCTTATCTTATAGCATTTGAAACCTGACACCCATGATAGTACTAGTAGTTATGGAACAGGGCTCACTGATACTGAACCTGGTACAGAACGTGACATTATCACTTGAAACCTGGAGAGCACTTCCTACCAGTGAGATGCTGAAAAGACCTTAGAATCTTTACTTATACTGAATTTCTCTGCAGTCAGGGGAATCTCATTGGTTGTAGAACTGCACTTGTCACTGTTATACTGCACAGTATCTATTAATTCACTTTGTAATAAACAATTCTATTTATACTGAAGTTTCATTATTTCACAGATTTATACTAGACTGATCTTTCTACTTTAAAAAAATTAGTTGGCAAGCACTGTTGCAATAAGAACCACAATAACAAAATAAAGCATACAAAACATTTTTTATTAAGTAAACACTTCAGACTTTGGCAAATTTGGTGTTCATGTTACCTGATCAGATATGCAACTAATTCACTAGTATTTCTTCGCCACAGAGTGAGAGCTACGTTTAGCCTGAGATTTCTTCCAAAAAGCACTTGTGTCATTGTATCATGATCCTTTGATATCTGTTGGAAAAGAAAAATGTATGTCTCTGGTTTTGATTTTCAGATATATTGCTTGCATTTCTAACAAACAATTCACAAGGAAAATCATGCACTATTGTATTCAATACAAAAAACTGAATTACCTTTCAGGTCACAAACAACTACAGCAAATTTTGCAGAATTACTTTATAATGTGTAATGACAATTTATAAATCAATGTTGCAGAAGCTAGATAAAATCAACTGGCATCTTGGTAAAAAAAAGTGCTGCTCTGGAAACCAGAAATCAGAAACGATCTGGGGATTAAGGAAATGTCCTACGGTGGCAGGTTCAAAGAACATAACCTTTCAAACTATGTGTTAGTGCATTTGTAACTGAGAACTGGAGGCACGACTTTATCTAAAGAATGGTGGGAAGTAGGAAAAAGCTACCCATAGACAGTGAAAACAGATCACAAAATAAACTGCAAAAGCCTAAAAAATATTTTTTCTTATGCAACCTGATGTCTCTTCTGGAAGAAGAAAGCACAATGCTTAGTGCTGCAGTATTTCAAGCCTATGTGTTATTAAAAAAAAGATAATGAACATTTCATACATCAATGAGCATATACCACACTACTGAGCATCAAGAATAACTACAAAGAGCTGAAGAGGAGTGCAGTCAGTCTTACCTCTGCAAAATAATCACTGTATTTGGAACCTGCACCCTCCATCCTTGTGGATCCTGCAGAGTTCAGTGGGAACCCGCAATGATCATCATTGTACAGTCTCTCATGCAAGCTGCCTGCACAAGCCAGTTCATTTTCCTTATTTGCCATATCACAGCTCCGGCTTGCCAAGGGCTGTCTCCGCCGTCCGCCGGAGCTTACAAATACGAGCCGAGTCTTTCTCTTGCTGGATACCACCCTTTTGACTTTGGTGGAGTTCTGTCCAGTGCAACCAACTGAAGATCTGTTAAGGAAGGGGTCAGACAGCAGTTACACAACAGAAACTAATTATGGCTTTTAAAAGTTAAGATACTGGAAAACTGAAATTCTCTAACCACAAAGGTGCATGAAAATAAACTTACCTCTTCTTATTTATTTCTTCCAGTTTAAAAAAATCCACCTGAAAAATAGAAATAAAAATATTATTGGCCTTAACCTTGGATAGCAGTGGGGCAAAGTGGTTGTAAGGTTCTGTAATTAATATTCCTGGATTCATATCCCCGGTGAAACACTGCTGTTGTACCTTTAAGTCAACTGCATTAAGTAAAATATTTAGCTGCAAAAATAAATTAACAAACTGGCATAACCTCATAATCTCTGCACTTTAAAAATTTCTTATAAAACATACCTTGTCTTCAAAAGTATAAGTAAAATATGTAAATACATTGTCTGACAGCCATTTCAAATATATGAGAATTACTCTAAATCCTTTTCTGAATTATTTCAGGTTCAATAAACCAACCTCTTACCTCCTTCATGTTCTTTTTACCAGAAGATAGCATTTTTTGGTTGAGAAGTTCATTGGGTAGAGCCTCCTCAAGATGCTGGAAATCCTTAACTTCAGCATCATGTTCTCCAGAGGCCATAATACTGTAACTTTCTTAAGGATAAAAACAAAACAGGGATGATTTTCATGCAACATTACCAATGCAACATTATTTTAAGGGTCATAATAACTAACGTTGTCACAAGATCATACACTTCGTCTTTGGAATTACAACCCCATACCTTTCCAAGAGTCCAGCTAGATATTCTACTTTTAATTTTAAATGTGTTTCAGGGCAGGTTGAACAAGAATCTCGTTTCTTCTACAGATTGTTAACAACACCACTTGTAGAATATGTAAAACTTCTACAAATGATCAAACTTTTTATGGGCATCTATTGACTGCAAAAAGAGCAGTGTCGTATGCATCGGCCGGTGTTAATAATAAAAACTGAAACCAACACGAACAAAGATGTTACCATACAAAGAACATGCAGCCAGAGAAAACCTGCTAAAATGTTCTTATAGCGGCATAATGGCCCGGACTTTTCCTCGTTTCAATACACACTTTCAGCCAGTTAAAGTTAAAAATCCTCAGTCACCAATCTGTTTAAATTAAGGCGTCTTCTGATACACTCTAAAACATTGCCCTGCGTATTTTGTACATATGTTTTGAGATCCGGTTTTCCAACTGAATTCACAACGGAGGCGTAAAGAACAGTACACACCTCAAAGCGCCGTCACCAGTGCTCATCCCTCATGGAGAACACCAACCCCTATCATCTATTAATAGAGTAACGACATTTCTTTGACAAATAAGACAAAAAAAAATCGCCTGTAGAAAAATAAACTTTTAAAACTGAAAAACGACCAGGGTGACAGCAGTCCGGGAAACGGGCGCCGACACAGACATGGTATGACAGTTCGCTTGGTCGGCGAACAACGGAAACTTTTACATTATCGTGCCATTTGATTTTTCTACGATTACATATAAAAAAAAAAAACAAAAAACTATATGAAAACTATAGAAAAAAAAAACATTACGCGAAAACGACCGAAATTAAAAACTGCTCTGCCCATTTTACCCACAATCCAACTGACTAATATGCTTACTACTCATCTATTATTTCCACAACAATATGGCGCAGTTTTAAATACACAACTGGATTACTGGATCTTCTAAGCAGACTCTTTTACAGTATTAAGCGAGTTCAAAAGGTTGGAATGCAAGGATTAACGACAAATTATAAGTGACTTCTGGTGTCCGTCTGGCCCAAGGGGCCCCTTCAGACCTGACTATATCTTAACCGGTTTCAAGTTCGTAGCTGAAATAAAATATACTTCAAACACTTCGGGTAAGACAATTTTATTTTTCATTCGTGCCACAGCACATGCAAGCGAAACATTTGTTTAGAAACTCTTAAGAGTACATGGAAAGCTGATAGTGGGGCCTACGTACAATGTACCGAGTAATGCTGAAGCAGGAGCGGCATGCCTAAACTATGCGTTTTAGCTACAGAATTACAATTACTTCTTTTGAAAACGATAATTGCAAAACAATTCACAAACTCATTTTTTTAGCGATTCTCTGCTGCCCAGGAAAAAAGTCACCTACCGTTACATTTTGAAAAGGTTTATGGGGGATTCTCGCAAGTGAATGTCCTCGGACGGTGGTATTCCTTTCCTGTATTTCTTATCTAAAATTTAATATGTAAGTGTCTATTAAAGTAAAAATATAAGGAACTAAAACACACATTCACAGTCCCCCAGCTGAGCCTGCGCCATTCAAACAGAGGAACACGGCATGTTGGGATTGATGTGACTAGGCAGTCACATGGGCTACTGCGCCCCCTAGTGGCACGACGAGTCCAGGAGTAAAATAGGTGGGATCCCGTGACACCATATTAGAGCAGCTGCCGGGGGCTATTTCTGCAGCTTGAGTGCAAACTGCGTCGATAGTTGTTTGAAAGTGGGGAGAAATCAGACTTGTCCTATTTGGAGACATTGACGACATCAGCAAACGCAGCAGAATAAAATGTGGACATGAAATGGCACTTATATGCACTACAAAGCAATGACAGTGAAACAATAACGGGCAATTTGTTGGCATTGAATCGTATTTTAGGTATCCGACTCATTGTGTTTTAATCAGTGTGGATGAGAGTTACTTTTTAAAAAGTTACTTCTTTAAAGGTTTGTGTTTTTAAATGCGAAGTTTGGTGAAATTGATTATCTACAAAATGTATATTACTTTGAAGGTGGAGATAGCGCAGTAGGTACTGTAGGTCTCTGCATTTAATGGTAGGGGGTGGGTTGAAGTCCCCATAACACACACTGCTGTGTAACCTGGAATCAGCATTTTCATCAGGTAATCCCAGCGATACCTTGGCGTCCTATCCGTGGAGTGTTGGGCTGTACTGCCCGACATTAAAGGCAAAAAACGGGATGGTCTCTGACCTAATGAGCCCCCATGGCTTGAATGTGTTACCTTAAAGTCTAACTACAGTATGTGCACTGACTGCATGGATCACTCTAACGCTATAAAAATATTTTCTTCCCAATAACATAGTGTATACCGCATACACAACTAACTGAAAATGGATAATGTATCAAGAGAATATTTCCCCAGCACTTGTAATAATATTCAGTTTTGATTTATTAAATACTTATTATGCTATAATAATGCTATAATTTGAATATTAATAACCTTCCAAAGTTCCCACTTGTTGGGTTTTCAACTTCTACACACTAATATTGTTTTGTATATGTAGAAGTTCCCAAGCCACACACCAGGCTTTTATATATAGATTTCTCATCAGCCTTTAACGCCATTCAACAACACTTATTAGTGGAGAAATTACTATCACATTTTAATGTAGACTTTAATATTGTAGGTTGGATCTTAGACTTTTTGACCAACAGATCACAAAGATTGAGGGTAAATGGTTTTATATCAGAGCAGCTTTGTTCTCCTAATGGGTCTCCTCAGGGCTGTGTGCTGTCCCCCATCCTATACATTCTGTATACAGATAGTTGTAGAAGCCCTTTGAAGGACAGACATATCATTCCGTTTGCTGTTGTAAGAACTCCTTTCTTAATGTGTCAAAAACCAAAGACATGATTATTGATTATAGAAAGTAACCACCAGCTGCAAAACCAACAATCATCGAGGAGCTAGAGATTGAAATTGTCAACAGTGTCAAGATACTAATCACTTTGCACAAGAATACTGTATGTAAGAAGAGTCAACAGCAATTGTTCTTTCTAGAAAAACTCCACTCTTTTAATGTGGGTACCACAACAATGACTGTATTCCATAGAACCGTCCTTGAATCTGTCCTAACATTCACTGCAGTAGCCTGTTTTGGTAACTTTAACACCCACAATAAAAACTGACTGAGCAGGATTGTGATGGTAGCCAACTACAGCTTTCAGACAAATAGTGTGGAATGCCAATGTTATCATTAACTGTCATGACCACCCCTTGCACAGTAAAACTGACCTCCTTCCATCTATAGTAGATTGCCTAGATTCAAGAGCAATAGACGTTAGTCAACTTTTCCCAGTGTTTAACCTCCTTAGTTTGGACAACTGACTATATTTTACTTTATATATTTATTTTCTTTCTCATCATACATGTATGTTTCATATTTGTTAAAATTAATTGCTGTGGAAATGTATTATGTCTTTTACCTGCCTTCAAAGCAAATTTCCCATCTGAGACAATAAATTAAAGTATGTATCAACAAAAGGTCACAAATGTGTATGATTCTGTATATAGAAACACAAGGTCTAGAGATTCTGCAGCAGAGACAAAAAAGGAAGCTACTAAGAAAGCTTCACAAGTTAAATTCTTATGCATTATTATTGAAACGTGTCTGAAATTTAATAGATAACATTCACAAGGCGATTTAAATGAATAAGCTACTCTGAGATATCTTAGAACTATTGCAATGACCAGTGTTGACAAAATATTCATACATAATATGAATCATTTTCTTATAATTTGTTCCCTCAATGTGTCGAGCAAATAATTCTGTATCTTTACCAATATGTTTTCATATCTAAACTTAATAAAAAACTAGCAGCACCCGTATTGCAATATTTACAGGAAAGACCAGCTGTCGAGTTTCAATTGCAATATTAGTCCTTCATACTCTGTTGCATATTTTAAAACTGCTGTTTTAAAAATGTAATGGATTATGCAGTGTATTTTACCTTTAAAGGGAATTCTGTTTATTTCTGGCCTAGGTTATAAGAAATGTACAGTAGATGTTTTGTTAACTATGGTCTTGTTTCACTTGGCTCCTTGTTTAATATTTAATAAACTTTCAAGTCTAAAAAAATGAGCACCACTTCCTGAATGACACAATGACATTGTATGTTTACAACTACAGTATCATAAGTGTAAATAAAAATATATCCAAAACATTTCACGGCTTTGAGGAATTAAATTCTGGGAGCGTTGTGGTTTCTTGTTTATGTTGCATTTTGCTGACAGATTGTTGCTTCTTAACCTTTGCATGTGACAGGAAGTTGAATACACATGTTAACTGTGTGAGAAAGCTGTTAAAAAGGAAACTGCCAATGTCCCAAGAAAAGACAATAAGGGTTATGGGACATCTGAAAGTGATGTGCTTAATAGTATCCAAATAACTTACCAGGTAAGAATACAGTTTTCAGTTGCTTTTGAAAGATTTAAGATCCTTTAAGAAGTAAACAACTTTCAAATATTATATATCTTCTGTTTACACAGAACAATTATTTGAGAACATAAGACAAAAGAAAATGTTCACTTGGTTAAATGCTGTGAGATGAAAACAGTAAACATCTTAATTAATTAAAAAAATAGTTGCTGTGTATTAAGCTCTTTTAAAGCAACAGAACAGAAACTGTTATCATAAACAAGATCACATGACAAGATCACATGAGTTTCTCTTGTAGTTTCGTGTACTAGATTTGTGTTGTGTTCAAGCTACTTGTTACAGATAACTACCATTTTCATTCTACCTATGAAAACAGTGTTTTGACTTTCAGATGTGCGTTTTCTTCAGGCTATGTTTCACACATTAGAATGTAACCTTTGATTTAGGTCAGGATTGTTAAACAATTTTCCTTTCAACAAATAATAATAATAATAATAATAATAATAATAATAAAACTTTATTTTATGTAGTTCCTTTAAAGGTAGCTTATCAAAGTGCTTTACGGAATAAATAATAAATTATACTTTTTTCTGAATAACCAGATAAGGGTGTGTGATTCTCGACATTAGTAAGAGATGGACTTGGTTTGGAGACTCTGTATTTTCTCCTGCTTTGGAGTCCACCTTGTACTTGGAGTCCCTCCAATTGCTACACAACCAGAACAGGTGCACATATCTTACCCAGGTAACGTTCTTTATTAGTTTACTTGTTTCCATCAAATGTATCTTCTAAATAATGAAAAAAACACAGTGACAATCTTTCAGTTTGAAAAAAATATCAGTCATTATGATGAAAGTATGTAAAAATAAGAAAATATCAGACTGAGAAAAGCATCTAGCTGAATCAGGAGTCATGGGCGCAATAAAATTGTGTGGGAATTGCTGAGTATAAGGTTTTTTAGTGTGACAGAAGGTAAATTATTTGTTTTTAACAGAACAGCCAGAAGTAAGTCACTTAGAAGAAAACCACAGCTAACAGGTTTCATAGGATGAAAAATTGGATGAAGATACTAGACTTAAAAAGTAAGGAAAGTCTTTAACATAAGACAAAAGAAAATGTT